ACAGATATTTTACTAAAAACTTTTAAAAATTCTTTCAGATTTCTATATAAATTTTATTTATTACATACAATAAAGTAATTTAGAAAAGAAAACTTTATCAAAAATTGTAAAAACATGTTAAAATATCAATAGTAAAGTAAAGAAAAAAAAAGATTTTATAACCATAAATAGCGGAATTTTATTATAGAAATATAAATAAATCAAATTACTAAAATATTTTTATCGAAATTTTTGTTACAAGAGTAAATAAAGAAACATTTGTATCTCTTGTTTATTTTTTTAAGGAAATCAATGAAAATTTATCCTTTAAACGAATTTTCCTTGTGATAAAGACAGAAATAAACTTCTCTAAATAGAATAAGATTTTATATGTGACAAGTTTTTTTATTTACAAAATAAAAAATTTATAATTTTATTGAATAAATAATAAATAATGTTCATATTGATTATTATTTATTAATTTATATTTTTAATAAATAAATTTGAGTAAACTAAATATAATACTATCGCATCTATTTATGCGAAATTATTTAAAAATTGACATTTTATTTATGTCAACAGGGCTTTTATTATAGATTATTTGCATTGAAGTTTAGTTATATAATGCTTTTATACGATTTTTGGTTCATGTGCATATGTTTAATATAAAACGCTAACAATTATGCTTAAACTATGAAAAAAGAATTCTTAAACTGTTTTCTACAGAATAACATACAAGAAGAATAATTCAATTTAATTAATTTACTAATTAGCTTAGTTAAATTACAGGGTAATTACACCGTTTCATTTGATAATTTAATATAATTGAGATATATAAAATAGCAGTACTTTGTAGATTTTTGACAACATTTATTTTAGTAAGATTCATTACAAAGATACTCTTGTATTAATTAATTTTAATTATATTCTTAATATGAAAAAAAAGATAACAAAAAGTAATTTGTGCAATTAACTTTGTAACACTTTTTACAATAATTGACAATAACAATCTTTAAGAACAAAAATTATAAAATTTCTATTCGAAAATTATCCACATCTCTACATAGAAATAATTAATTTTAGCAGTATTAATTAAAATAATATTCTAAACACGAAACTCTCTCTTCGTTTCTATATCTGTACGACAATGTACAAAATGAGAAAAATTAAATTTTATAATAATCTAAGTTACATAAATGTTTTTACATATATAATAATTAATTATTGATTTTTCAAGGTAAACAAAACTCTGCAAAATGAATTTTTTACTCAGTTTATATTCCATAAAACTGAATTGTTTCCATATAGAACGTGTGAATGATTGTTATTTAATTTTTAAATATCTGGAAGATTTCTTTTTCAATTTTTAGCAGTTAAAATTAAGTTTTAAAATCTAAATATATATGGAAACAAAAGAGGAAAGATTAAATATAAAAATTAATTTATATGAGTTTTTAAGACATAAAGCAAATATTATAATTAAGGAAGTGTAATGTTCTTTCATATTCCATAACGAAACAGAAATATGTGTGAAATAGTTAAGTCTTATCTGATACTAATGCTTACTTGTTTATCAATGGTACTCAGTTTGTGTCATTGACAAGATATATGATACATTTATCGAACTGAAATGATACTCAAACAATAGACACGATAGGGCTTGGCTTCTACAATTCAATTCTGTGTTATTGTTATAACTACAACTCTAAGTATATTTTATAATATAAACAATAAATTTACCCAAATAGAGGTATGGTTTTATAAAATATTTCTAAAAAATCGAATTCTCTCATTAGTTTAAAAATTAATTTTAAGAAGTTTTAGTATCCTGATATATAAGTTATATTTAGCCTAATAATAAATATTATGAAATTATTTTGATATGTTTTTATAGAAAATGTAAAGTGTATTATAATAAGAATTCATACGAACAATTAATTAGTAAGATTTAAATTAATAAATTGAAAATTTAATTTAAAATTTTTTTTATAAATTTACTTATTACATCCATTAAAAGTTGAATAAATGTTTGAAAATTAAGCTTCAAAACTGATTATACAAAGAGATGAATAATACTTTCTATATGCAAGTCTCATTTATTCTCGCTAAAATCACTAATTTTTCTTGATTATTTCCTAATACACAAATTTGTTATTGATTTTAAAGATTTATAAATTGATTTTGAAAAAATTTAAGAAATATTTTAATTAAAAAATCAAACTGAATACAAATCAATTGTAAAGAAGCCAAAAATAAAAATATCTCAAAAATTAATTTAAAAGTTTTGATACATAACATAAGTTTATAAAATTTTCACAAGTTTAAAAAATAAAATTAAGATAAATGATTTAAAAAAAAAGTAAATTTTTGTTACATTTACATTCAAGAAAGAACAGAATAAACATTTATAAATAAAACTTTTCAGCTTTCATAAGAAAAAATAAATTATTATTCAAGAAACATTTAGTTTAATTCAAAGATAAGTTTGTTGTCTTTTAATAAGGAAATAGTTATAGACGTTGTTATATGCAGTTAATATATATAAATTTTTGTTGTAATACTAATTACGTTAACTCGAGAAGGAATTGAAGTGATATTAATAGGAAACATGAGTAAGTTTGCTAATTAGAGAAACAAGATTCTTAATTAGTTATCCTTTGATCTGATATAATTCAAGTATACTGGATAAATATTCATTCTGCAACTCATAAAAGTGATTTTTAAAAAGAAGATTATTCATGTTAGAAATCTTAAGAATGTCACTTGAAAATGTTATATTTAAAATATATTTAACATATGAAATATTCTAGATATTTAGAGATTTAAGAGTATAACAATAACATCTGATGTTCTGGTAGATCATGCGAACATATACATTCTTGTTAATGTCCTTTATTGTTATATAATTGTTCGTTAAAAATTTACAGAAAAGTTCATAATTAAAAATAGTAAAAGATTATCTTTAAGTTCAACGGCTGAACAAAAGTATTGATGTAATTATAAATTAATGTATGTTCTTTGATTTTCTAAGTCCCATTTTCGTCATCTTTAATTTGAATAAATGAATCGCATTTAAACCCAATTTACTTAAAATTAAATTTATCTTAAAATCTTAACGTGTATTCGAGTGATGGGAATCGTTATTTAAGTCTAATCAAGTTTAAAGATCAGAAACAGAAATCAAGATGAAAGTTACGAAGTAAGCTCAGGAAAATCTGTTAAGTAATTGGGCTGAAATTTGATAAAAATTGTATAACTATGAACTCCCTCTATCGTACGTCTGTCACTCCGTCTGTCTAATGAAATCTGAGACCAGTTGCGGAAAGATTGAAGGCAGGAGACCCCAATTAACTATATGCGAACTTTTGAAGCAAGCTGGAAATTATGTTATTTCAATTCAAAAATTTTCCACCAAAAATGACCGGCACGACTCTATTGTTAAAGAAAAAGTACGATATACAGGAACAAGCCACTACTAATTTCGAGGTAGAGAGCATATATATTTTAAATTAAATAATTTAAAAATATGATTAATAAGTGCAGCCAAGCAATGTGCAATTATTTATTGTGACAATATCGCAATAAATAATTACACGATGTATATAAAAATGTTCAAACTAAGTATGTTATTTAACAGAAAAATTACGAAAGTATTAAAATTCCTGTAACTAGTTTATAAAATAGTTTTTGTTAATTTTTTAAATGTAAGTTTTATGGATGTATTTACTGTAGGCTATTTAGTTTCATATATATACATTATAATTATACAAAATTAAATTTTTTATCTTTAATACTTTATTTATTTATTATTTTTAGTTAATACGTTATTATGCAAGTTAAGTTTTTAACGAAAATTCAATGAAGAAACCATAATTTATTGTATATAAAACAAAATTTATATGTCGAACAGAGTTAAATTCTTTTAGTCTTTTCTTCTATTCTTAATGTAATTTTATAAAATTTAAAGAATTAAAAGAAAAAATCTAACTAAATTTTTATATGCTAGAGGCTTCGCTTATTTATTTAGAAATTTCGTTAAGATACATTGATTCCCAGTGCCACCGTTTTCTTTTTTATCATAACAGTAAAACTTTCTTGGCCATTTTAAGCTAACTATTATATATAAATATAGAATACATACATATAATGCTGTTTAGAGCGTTAATATATTTTAAATAAGTTTATTTAATTTAAGAATCCAAACACATTTTTACTTTATAAAATTAATTTTCTGATAATGAAAACTTGTTGCATTTAAAAATATTTCTGTTAGTACGTTCTATACAAATAAATAATGAACTAGGGAAAATATTAAATTCTAAAGAAAAATATTTTTAAGATAAATGATTTTAATTCATTATTATTAAACGGAAAAACAAACTTCATAAAAACGGCAATTTTCTTATACTTCCACGAAGTTAAACATCGATTGGTCTTTTGTGGAAATATTTTATATCAAAATGGTCATGACAGCTGAACAATGAAAATGATTATCATCTAGAAAATTACACACGCATTTTTATATTTATTTTCTATAAAAAATATTGATACTAAGTACGGAAAAATTAAAAAATAATAATTTTTGTAAAAAATAAAAACTGAGCAGTTAAAAGTTATGTTATTTGAATGAAAGTACAAAAGTAAGAATAATTTCATACTTTCTTATAAAAATATATGCAAAATATCAAAATATTTAAATACAAAACGATACATTTATGTTTATATTTTACTTTATATCAAGTAGTACGTAAGAACTACTGCATAGTAAATAGCAATTGTGTTTTAAAAATGTAAATTGTAATGAGTTTTAAATAAAGAGTAAATATGATTAAAATAATAGAAAACGCTACAAAAGAGTAAATTAAACTATTCTATAAATTAAATGCTAAAGTTTAATAATAAATAATTAAATTAATGAATTTTTAATACTTTAGAACATTTTCAGAAAAAAAGAATCGCGTTATTTCTCTGAATAGTCTATTTATCATAAATTATCATTGTAATCCACATATAGAGCTTACCGAAGGACTAATGAGACTCAACACAGCTACAGTCAATCCACGTAGATCTAATCTTTCCAATTCCGGAGTATCTGACTTAAGTTTCGATAGATTCACGTTGCTGTTTTCAGTACACGATTTTTCTTCGGCATCATTTTCTACAAGAGTTTGTAAGGAGCGAGAAGCACTTCTACCAAATGGACAGCCCATGCTCTCATTTATAAGTATGTTACTTTGGCACGACCATTCTTATTAGCGATGAAAGGAGTGCTTTAAGTTGTAACAGTTTTTGGTGCATTGTTGTAGGATGTAGTAAGGAGCAAAGTCTTTCCCTCTCTCGCTCTCCGGGAACTCCGTCTTTGACTGGCATTATATATGTCGCCCGGTCAATACGTGACGGTGGAGACGAGCAGCGAGTAAAAGGTAAACTATTTTGGTGCTAAATGAATAATCAAAGTAACACTTATGATAATAAATATGTTATTTAATTAAGTTTGTAATTGTAAAATCGTGTGGCTTATAGAAAATGATAAAGTCTTACTTACTGTGCAAAGAAAGATACAAAAGTATGATTCTAAGTAAAAATTCCAATATAAATCTAAGAGTGGAGAAACTTCGAAATTTGTTTTAATATTTTATCGATATTACTTTTATATTTAGTAAGTAAATACTAAATATATTTCTTTCTTGTTTACCATATTTTTTTTAAATCTTGTGATAAAACAACAAATTCATATAATAAAAGTATCAAATATTTGCAGATTTTGCTGTGAATTTTGTTGATTCCATAATTTTCTTCTTATTTAAATAAGATCAAAGTTGTTCTGTCTGCATTATTAAATAAAATCCGATTCGTTTAATTGTTATGATTTATACTTCGAATACTTTTTGCAATAAATACGTTTAGTAATATATATTCAGACTTTTATATAATTTAATTAAATAAAATATTTTAAGCAAGAATTCTGAAAAGAAACTAATTTTGAAATATAAATGATTTAAATTATATTTCTCTATATACAAGACTGAATATGCATTTTAAAGTTACTTTAAGCGCTTTTATATCAAAATTGTTATCTTTGATAAAAGAATTAAAGTATAAAAATTCGGCATTAACTTATAAAAATAGTTTAAATAATTGTTAAAATCTGAAATTTTGCCTTAAATATGAAATAGATATTACGTTTTTTTACGANTTACATATATCCAGCGGGCCACGAAGGTATCTTATATAAATATATATTTTTAACAAGTCAAAATGTGAATATCAACTTTTAATAAATATATATAATCACAAAAAATACTGTATTATTTATTGACAGTGAAAAAAGGAATTATACATACACAAAATAAAAATAAATTTAATGCAATTTTTGACATTGCATCTTTTTATAATATTGTCAATATCTGCTTTTATGGTACTAGTCTTAATTGTAAGAATGTTAGTTGAAAAAAATGGGAATCTCGCAACCTATTTCAGCAGTTTTGATGTTTGTCATGCACGAAAAGAATTGTTCACAACAGTATGTACAGTACTATCCCACATGCATAACAGTTTTGTAGATAAAACAGTTTTCTAGCACCAAATACGTCATTACGACATCAAAGTGTATCCAGTGAAACGAGAATAAGTTTTACAACCTACTTTACCAAAATAAATGAAAATGTACCTAAAAAATTAAGAGTGCAGTTGGCCGCATAAAAATATTAAGTGAGCCGTGAGTTGAACATCCCTGGTCTATAACATAGTTGTTTTCATTTTTACAATATAAATTTATTTAAAATTAATACAGTCTATCATTCCATTTAAAATAGATTTATAAGGATCTCTTCGGAGTTAATGTATTTTAACTGTTTTGATGCTTCTTAATACCTTGGAGTCTTTTGTAATTCCTTTTTTCTCTTATACACAAAGCTTTCTGACAATCATTATATGTCAACGTTAGTAACATTAAAGTATTATTTTAATTAAAATTATTCAAAAAGGTTATGATATTAACGTAATTCACAAAATTTAAAGAAAATTATTGCGAGAATTAAATGAATATTACGAAAATTCTATATAATGATTCATAGACAAAAGTCACTTCTACTGTAGTCGAAAATAGTTCCTTTACATTATTCTAAGTTGAAAAATCCAAAACTGGTAGGAAGAAAGCAGCACTATCGAAAACTTTTTCCCTAAGACTTTTAGTAGTTTCTACTTGGAGAAACTATTAGGAAACTTCTGTCACGAAATTTTAATATTCATTTCCTGTTCCGAGGATCCATCTCTCTGTCGTCAGTTCTATCATGTTTTTATATTTGAGTCTCTCGACCGCATCGACGGTGGAGACCTAAGCAAATGGTGGAGACACGAGATCGTTTTTTGACGGTGACACTGTATCAGTAAATATTGTTTTAGGGCCAATAAATATGATTAATTACTAAGTAAATTTTATTTTATATGTAAATAATTTATAAATTAATTATGATTTTTGATTAATATATAAAAACAAGCACACGGTTTACAATATGACAATCATATTTTGTGCTAACCAAAATATGTACTGTACATCAATTGTCTATCTCTTTTTAGTTTTGCTAAAACAATTTATTACTTTAGCGCTGCCTAGAAATGTTGAAAACTTCTAAACGCTGTGTTTCATTTTATGTGATAAAATATGAACCAATTCACCTCACAGACGCCACATTGGAAAATGTTACATGTTTACTGGAGCAAGGCTACTACACCGTTACAGCACTGCTGAGTTATGGAGAAGGAAGATCTGACTCTTACGTAAATGAAGTAAGGAAATATTTACTCTTACTGCAACAAGTTGTGAAAAGTAAATGTAGTAATGGAGTGCAGAATTGAATAGAGTAGAAAAATTCAGTAGTGGAGAATTGTCGAAGACAGTGATTGTCGTAACAGGTTGCGAGAAAAAAACACATGGACTGGAAGCAACCATGTTTCTCCTGATTCTAGAAACTTTAAAAGTGCCATTTGCCACCAAAATTTACGACTAATTAATTTTCTAGTTGTAGATTTTGAAACTGATGTAAACCTTTTCACCCCTTGACCCATTTCACCCCAAATTACTCTGTTTGATTTTCTTTAACTGAAGGTTGGAATGCACCTGGATTGCAATGACTTTTGTTAATATGTAAATGAATCAAGTAAATAACTTTGCATAATGAATTCGTCCTCTTGTCATTTATTTGTCCAAACATCTCTTTGCAGTAATTAAAATAATCTGTTTCTGACAGAAATCTTGAATCTATTTCCTTTAACAAATAACCGCAGTTACAAATTTCAAAACAATTATAATTTGAGAAATGGAAATTTGTAAAGAAAATTCATGCATAAATTCATTTGTACGATATAATTTATAATGCAGGTGGAAATATATTTATATTATAGATATTTACTGATATGTAAAAAACATTAGATATGTTTTTGGAAAATGAATCAAAATTTTACTGTTCATTTTATACTAATTCATTTGAGTATTCGTAAATTAAATTACTTATTAATATCAATAATTATCAAAAAATATTCATAAGCAACGCATTATAGCTTATAACAGGGTTGTCCAACCTTTTTTCCTAATGGGCCAACTTAGAAATTTACATATATCCAGCGGGCCACGAAGGTATCTTATATAAATATATATTTTTAACAAGTCAAAATGTGAATATCAACTTTTAATAAATATATATAATCACAAAAAATACTGTATTATTTATTGACAGTGAAAAAAGGAATTATACATACACAAAATAAAAATAAATTTAATGCAATTTTTGACATTGCATCTTTTTATAATATTGTCAATATCTGCTTTTATGGTACTAGTCTTAATTGTAAGAATGTTAGTTGAAAAAAATGGGAATCTCGCAACCTATTTCAGCAGTTTTGATGTTTGTCATGCACGAAAAGAATTGTTCACAACAGTATGTACAGTACTATCCCACATGCATAACAGTTTTGTAGATAAAACAGTTTTCTAGCACCAAATACGTCATTACGACATCAAAGTGTATCCAGTGAAACGAGAATAAGTTTTACAACCTACTTTACCAAAATAAATGAAAATGTACCTAAAAAATTAAGAGTGCAGTTGGCCGCATAAAAATATTAAGTGAGCCGTGAGTTGAACATCCCTGGTCTATAACATAGTTGTTTTCATTTTTACAATATAAATTTATTTAAAATTAATACAGTCTATCATTCCATTTAAAATAGATTTATAAGGATCTCTTCGGAGTTAATGTATTTTAACTGTTTTGATGCTTCTTAATACCTTGGAGTCTTTTGTAATTCCTTTTTTCTCTTATACACAAAGCTTTCTGACAATCATTATATGTCAACATCATGCACTTACTCTCTCTCGAGTGACTTGCATTCAATCCCTGTTCTTATTATGTTCTTATCTTCAACTGTTCTATCATAAGTTACACGTTTAATGCTTCAGTAACTAAAAATCATTACAGATATATGACTGTATTTTTTTTTATGTTAAGCAATTTACTTCTTGATCTAATGACTCAATTATTAGAAAATCAATCCTGAAATCATCATAGTTAACGTTATTAAGCACTAAAAAAACGAAATGTGTGTTCTACAGAAAAATATAAAATGGTATTATTTTATATAGACATTTATTAAAATGTTATAATATGTAATCTTATTTTGTAATATTTAGAGCTCTTATTTTTTCCTCAAATGCGAGTTTCTTCTTATAGAGTAATTTAACGATGCTTCGAGAATTATTTGTACAACAATCCAGTTTCAGAAAACAGTTATTTATATTTATATTAATAAATTAAGTCACTTTCTCACGTTTAAAAAAATAATTTATTGAAGAGGTACATTAATTCAGAACACGATTATACTAAACTCGGTATAAATGTACTGTACAGAGAAAACGATCTTACAGATGCACATCGAGTTCATTTTATGACTTACAGAAGAAATTATGGTCTATATACGATGGTTTGTTACTCTAGAAGAATACTGATGATACTAATATCTGATATAAATTCAATAGAAAACTATTATATTAGATGTTCCTATCTGTTCATACCTTTATCCTTTTAAATAACAGGCACATAAACATTCACACAGTATATAATCTAAAATGTAGTAAAGAGATTATATTTAAAAATACTGTTTTCAAATTGAAGAAATGATATTTTATATAACTTTTATTCATTTTTATTCTTATTATAAACAAGTATGCTGTATATTCGACTCATATTATTGCCATTGTTCGTTATAAAAATATTGTAAAACTCAAAAAATATAATTAAATTCGAGTAATTTATTCTATAAATTACTTT